GCTTATTAATGTGTGTTTTTTATGTGTTTGACTAACTATCCGAGATCTTAGCCTTGCAAAACTATTAGTCAACTTTAGGTTTACCAAATCTTTTCTTACATGCATTCATTATTCATGCATATGTCGTCACCAAAGTTCGCCTCGCATATCAAGGTCTGCGTTTAGTAGTTCACTCCATGTAGTCGATAATACCTAATCATGAAAATAAATTAGGAAGAAGAAGGTTAAGCATCTCATAACCAGAGAGAAGGAGGATCAGATCGACTAGGTGGGTTACAGAAGAAATTACTACTACCTCCATTAATGGTTATCTGCAACTTTAGGGTATTATTTGTGAGATATAAAATATTCTAAAATTACAGATAACCATTAACGGAGGTAGTATTTAAGTTTTCATGCAAAGATTGATCTAATTAAGCCCGGAATATTTGGCATTTCTATACAAAACCAGGATAATTGTTAAATCTACCCCCTCAATCTTAACCTAACCTAATTGTTAGTATGTAAAAATAAGAAAAGCCCACATATATTTGATTTTTCCTTGGAAACTTTTGGAGTGCTTGTTGAATGGTATGTATTTGAAGGAGAATTTTTAACTTGATCAAGTTGTGATTAGGAATCCCAGTCTATAATTCTTTGAAACTTGCATCAAGCCAAAAGTTAACCTACAACTTTGTTCACACGTCAAGATATAGTGGAGGTCAACGTTGGATTATTAGAGTAAATAGCAACAGAACAAAAAGCTTAACAAGTTTTGATTTAGATTAGCATAAAGAAAAGAGAAAGATTTGAGGAAGAAGATTCAAGAAAAAGGTCTTTTAAGAACCATAAGAAACACATAAAAATCGTTAAATGTACATACGTTTGAAGTTGTAAATGCGTAATTTTAAGATTTAGCTCATGAATTGAATTATACTTCGTATATCAATATTATTAAGATCTTAATCTTTGTCCAATACTATTTTATGAAACCTAATGAAGCATTGTGATGAACTTATAAAACTAATAATTAAAGGTTTGTTTGGTATCGCTGTAATTTTCTATTTTTTTGGTATTTTTTATTTTCAAAATCATATAATTATGTCATATAATAAATCAATTATTAGTCAAACTTATTAAAATCATAATAATTTAAATAACTGACAATAAAAAAGTGAAAACATCTTTTTTCTTGTTTTCTAAATTTGGTTTTTTGTTTTAAAAAACAGAAAATTTAAAACAAAAATGATGTCAAACAAGCCCTAAGTTTAGTGTGAACTACTACTGATGAGAACCCATCTGTGAAGGAATTTGAGCAATATCCTACCTTGTAGGGAAAGGTCCACCTCTTCACCACTATTACGCCTCCAATATCCCTTCAAGAAACTTGTTTCATGTAAGATATTTCGACTTTTGAGTAAATGTAAAAGCTGGGTACTAAACTATGGCCTTTGTTGCAAATTGGGTACCCAACTTTGGGAAGTTACAAATTGGGTACTAAAGTTTGGATTGTTTGAAAGTTTACCTGTTAGAACCGGTTACCATCATTGAACAACTAAACAAATTTTATAAAAAATTCATTCTTGGAAGTACAAGAATGTCAGATAATTAAAAACTAGCCATTACAATTAAACAGTGCATATAGACCAGTTATTTAGAGATCAAAAACATTGAAATTTATATGTTCTTCTGAAATTTGTTGAGGCCTTTCAAAGGGAGGTTTGATAGGTACCTGGACATACATATCAAGGGGCATAAGAGACATTTCGCATGAAATTTACCCATCTCTCTCCTCCTTTCTCTCACCCCCATGTGCTGAATTTAAGTGTACCACTGGGTGATTAATAGTATCACTAGATGATCAAATAGTATCATTGAACATTCAGTGGTACTATATATTCATTCAATGGTACTGTATATTCATTCAGTGGTACTAACTACGTGTAGAAATAGAATCACCACATAGTCAATGATATTATATAAGCTTTCAGTGGTACATTTAAAACTGGTCCCACATGCCCATCTCTCTCCTCCTTTTCTCCCACCCCCATGTGTTTTACAATACTTTTCAATATTTTAATGTTTGATATGTATTTGTACATACATATCAAACCTACATTAGTACTTCCTCGCAATTTGTTATAATTTCTTCAACTCCAACAGTCGTAGTATGTTACAAATTAGATGTTGCTGTTTTAAAAAAAAAATCACTGCTTCATTATATATATATCTCCTTAAGCTTCTATGTTTTGGCAATTCTACAACAAAGACTTATTTTTTTCAAAAAAAAAATATTTAGCAAGCAAATGCAATTTCCTCAGCAAAATTAATCACCATATTTCACATCCAATTCAATCCGCATAATTATAAGTCATTCACTAATCACTATAACAATCTATTTCACGTCTTTAAACAAAGATCATATCAAATTATCAATAGAAGACAATCAATTCAAAACAAGTAGTGAAAATAAATATCACCAAAATTCCCAGTAATTAAACCAAATTTCTAACAAATTAGCAATAACATTCAAGGGTACTTAAAATTAGAGGGGGTTAGAGAGAATTACTTGTATATACATCGAAATTGGGATCCCTTCAATACAATTCAGAAAATTCATGGTTTGAGAAGATATTTGTTAATCTGGGTATTGGCATTTTTTTTTTGGTGTTTAGAGAGCCACAACGGCGGGTGATTAGAATCAATCCCAGGATCACCTGGGACCGGGAGGGGAGCTCTAACCACTTGAGCTATCCCTCATTCTCGGTATTGACATTGAAATAGGTGTTAATTTTGGTGAAAGAACTTGGGAATTGGACGAAAGAAGGGGGAGAAGAGAAAGAGAAGAGGTGTGTCAGCATGGGAAAGATTGTGTAGGTAACATAAATGCAAAGTGATTGTTTTTTTTATTTAAAAAAAAAAGGAATTTCCATTTTATTACCGGTTTTTGTAGGTTTCCACCGGAAAAATTACCTTCAGTCACCTGAGTAGTACCCTCATTGCTACTCTCCAAACTTCAGTACCCAATTTGCAACAAAGGCCATAGTTTAGTACTAGCATTTACATTTACTCTTCGACTTTTACTACCTTAAAGCACAATTTAAATTTAATTACCTTAAATAAATGTATTTTATTTATTATCAAAAAAAAAAAAGTATTTTTCCACTACATAACAAATTTTGTCAATCAATTCATTAAGTGGTGGAAAAATTAAAAAAAAAACTTTTTTTTTATATTGTTTTTACAACCTTAATTATTTTTGTTTTTTAGATTTTTACCACCATTTAACAAATCTTTGAATCTATTAATTGGTGGAAAATTTTTAAAAACAAATTTATTTAACGTAGTCAAAATCAAAATCATGCTTTTATAAGATGTCTAAAAAACATTTATAAATATGATAAGGAAATTAGGCACCCCAAAAATCATGCTTTTATAAGATGTCTAAAAAACATTTATAAATATGATAAGGAGGAAATTAGGCACCCCAAAATACATTGTATACAAATATTAAATATAAGTATACTCTCTTAATTCTTTTTTTATTTCCTATTTATTATGCATATAAAATGAAGTAGTAAATGAAAGTGAGTCATTTTTTTTAATTACTTTTCAGGTAGGAGAGATAAAGTCATTTAGAAACATTGATGTTATTTACAGTATTAGATAATTTTATATGGATAACGGGAGTGAAAACATAGAAAATTTCTTTACCGCAAAAGAAATAAAATAGGGTTTTCTGATATAGTAACCCTGTTTTTTTCATTTTTCTACGTTGTGCCCTAACATATCACTTTTTTACACTGTAACCCCAATATATTTTTTGTTTCCATACGGTAACCTTGTTGTTATCCTGCTGTTAAAAAATTCCGTTAGTGGGGCCCACTCTTCATTATTAGTATTTTTTTATCGATTTGCGCGTTGAAAAATACTCCGTCAAAGGTTTCGGGAGCTGCTTTGGGCCTTAGGGAACCAAATTGAGCTCAGATTTGGCAAAAAAATAATTTAAATGCCTCGTTTTTCTTATTAAGAAATGTCTCGATTTACATGTTCATATTTTAACACACAAAACGAGACATTTACGTTATTTTTTTGCCAAATCTAGGCTCAATTTGGGTCCCTAAGGACCAAAATAGCCCTTGAAACCTTTGACGGAGTATTTTTCAACGCGCAAATTGATAAAAAAAATATTAATAATGGAGAGTGGGCTCCACTAACGGAATTTTTTAACGGCAAGGTTACCGTATGGAAACAGAAAATATATTGGGGTTACAGTGTAGAAAGTGATATATGTTGGGGCACAACGTAGAAAAGTGAAAAAAACAGGGTTACTATATAGAAAAACCCAATAAAATAAAAGTAGAAAATATAAAGGAAAAACTTACCAAAACTAAAAGTAGATACAAAGAACAGAGGAAGTAAGAGTATACTTCATATAAAGTTAATAAAATGAAAGCATATTACGGGATGAATCTAACACAATGCACATTATTATATTTTTCTTAACGTATAAATCATAATCTATAGTCAACCAAAAGTGATAAATAGTGCAAATCTTCAATTGTGAACATTATTAGAGCAGTGGTTATAAATTTTTAATCTCAAAAATTAAATTTATTTTAGTTAAATTTTGAAAATTTTATGGAATTTTCTTATGTGGGTGGTCCTATTTACATATTGACATTTTTGTTTTGTTTTTCACTAGCGTTTTGTTAGTTTTCTGGATAATGTTATTTCTCATGTAACAACATTTCCCTTGATTGGACATTGACATTTTGTTTTGTTATGCCATTCCCAAATAAATGCAATAATTATGAAAGAAATTAAATGTTAATTTCGTTATGTGTTGTGTTACACACTTACACGTATCAATATATCATTTTACCCACATACTCCTTCCAATCCTTTTTGCTTTTTTCAGCTTGAATCATTGTCTAACAAAAGATTATACTAGTAAATAGAAAGAACAAAAAGAATCAGAATGAATATAAAATCACAAATGAAAATTTATAATTACTACGTACATGTAATCCCTCCACTTCTACAATAAAGGCAATCAATCTTTCGAACAATACAAGAATAGATTCAAACACAAGCAGGAAATGAGAAATCCCTTAAAACTCGTATATCATCTGGAATAAATTACCAGAAACAAAATTTATTGACATAAAGCAGAGGTAAAATCCTATTTATTTGTATTCGGTAAAATTAGCAAGACTCATGGAGTTTGGTACAAATTTTTTCATAAAACTTCAGGGCTTCCGATGTACTTGGGAAGTGCTAAAAAGAATCTATCAATAAAATGAGGTTGTGTTGCTCACTCCTCCGAGAAGATGAACCTGCGGCAAAGGTCTTTGTTGACACAGCATGGCAATCTCCTTCCAAAGTAAATTAAAAAGATGGTTTTGGATTTCAAAGGAAATACACTACACAAAATGATCATGTAGAACCTATTCCAAGATTATCACAAATTGCATTTGTAAAGTCTGTGGTAGAAGATTTGCCGCCAAGATCGATGGTTCGATATTTTCCTTCAGCGATTGTTTTCAGAACAGCATTCTGAACTTGATCTGCTTTGTCATTAAGTTCCAAGTGTCGTAACATGGTCACAGCACTTAGAAGCAAAGCAGTTGGATTCGCCATGTTCTGAAAATATGAAAGATGTAAAATTAGCAGCTTATTTAAGAGTCACACAAATCATAACCCTAACCAAACAGGCTCTACATCATTATGCAAACATGAAATGGTGAATATGTTTGTGAAGGGCAAAGGGATACAATCCACCTTTATGAGCTGAGGCATATTTGCTTGGCAAAACTCCTACAGGTTTCCAGAAGCCTTGCGTAAATAGCTACCTAACCATAAGACGTAGGATGTTGCTACACTAGGCGACTAGCAAGGGCAGGTCCACTTCTAACGCATTAGCCAAGGATAGTACTCGATTAATAAGCTCCTCAAAATTAAAAACTACGGTTTTGTGCCATCCAAGCAAAAACCAGCTCAATGGACCAAACAAGGGCCATATGAATGTGCTGTTATACATGACGTGAAGAATGCAGATAGCTTAATTTACTTAAAAACCTCAATTAATTTGTAAAGCTCCGCCCAGTTGTAGTCATGCTTACCTACCCATAAGATGTAGGATGTTGCTACCCTGAAGTTCAAGACTAACACATTAACCCAAGGATAGTACTTGATTAATAAGCTCCTCAAAATTAAAAACTACGGTTTTGTGCCATCCAAACAAAAATCAGTTCAATAGACCAAACAAGGTCTATATGAATCTGCTGTTATGCATGACGTGAAGAAAGCAGATAGCTTAATTTACTTATAACCTAAATTAATTTGAAAAGCTCCACCCAGTTGTAGTCATGCCAGATATTTAAGACTAATGCCTTTTAAACTTCATGTAGTCTTGTTCCAAAGTATCTAATTTGATAGTCAAACTCATAGTTAGTGCAGTTTGGGCAAATACTAAAATTTTACTAAAACCACCCTATTGGAAGCAAAACAATTGAACATGAGTAATTTCCAACTTCATACTACAGGTAATTTCCATGTCTTACCTGAATTGCAAGGGGAAAGAGAATAATATAATGAAAGAAGCCACATCACATGGCTGCACATACTTCTTGCAATGAAGACCAAACCAAACTTCAGTACAAGAGAGCAATACTACCCTTAACACTCTTCCTAATATACAAAAAGACCATAATAAAGATTGGCTAAACTGCATTAGCTGACCTTTTGCTAAAATGCTAAGCATAAAATAAGCATGTCTTAAAGTACATTTTTTGAGACTTGACAGGTTCAACTATGATAAGAAAATAGTACATTTTTTATATTTGACAACTTTAACTAAGCAACTAGTGCGTCTGTATATTCAATAGGAAGCAGCCACAGAGCTAGGGTCAAGCTGAATCCTAGAGCACATACAATCATGCAACTACCCTAAGCATCCCCCCAAAGTAGAAAATAATTTCATTATATCTTAAACTAACTCTAGCCTAGAGTGTGAATCAGGTCAATCAATGGGAGAAGCACAGACATAGTAATGCAGGCTTAAACTAACTCTACTTCTTAAACAATTCTCAGCTAAATAAAATGACCTGTATTAATAGTTTAATTTAATAGTGCACCGATAACAAGAAAATGAATTATAACACAAGCTGATGATTAAAAAAGACCAACGCCATGGGGAGACTTACGCATTCCAACGCATATTTTCAACCTTAAATATCTTTAGTTATATAACAGTAAAATTATAAAGAACTGAAATTATGAAAGTACATACCGAGGCAAATGTAACAATATCCCACACGACTACAATTTCCCTAAAAGTCACAATATGTGATTAGAATGAGTGTGTGTATAGTGTAAAAGGAGCAAATGGTGTTTAATTTAGGGTATGAAGTATTTACTTTTATTATTTGCATCCCATTAGTGTTTTATGAACTTTATTGATTTCCTTTACTAAAGTTTTCTCAAACCTTTATGTTTTTACTCTAAGCATTTTAACCACCTCCTAAAAACTTTCTTGAATTTCAGTTTTTGTTCTCATTTAAAACTCTTATTTTTCTTGGATGCTCTTTCTTTTTCCCACTTTACTCGCCTTTTTTTAAACTCTTTAAATTGATTATCTTGCTATGTCCCTTTTAATATCGTACGGTTCCTTATGACGATTCATGTTAGCCGACTACAAATCACTTTGGGACTAAGGCTTTGTTGTTGTTGCATATGCTATGTTAAATAGACCTGAAAAACCGATATGCCTTATATATGCCCTAAATCTAATCAATACAAACCACACCAAAAGCGAAGAACTCATTGCCACCTTTTTCACAAAATACGCATTTAAGAAAATCATTACATGTATATTGATCAATCATATTATCATAAATTCATGAAAATGACAGTTACAAAAGTATCTTATTCGATCGAAACATATAAAATCTTCATCAATCAATTTGCTGCAAAAACAAAGAAAAACATTTGCCACCCACCACAATAGCTATATAACAAAACATTTACTCCCCTTGCACCAGTTTCATAGCTCTTCCACTCTTCTATCAATCCAATTTGAGTGAACTTAAAAGTGATATCCTAGTAGTAATGGCATTCACCAGTGTCAAACCTCCCAAATAAATCCATCCAATAAAACATGACCCTCCTAATTTCTTCAATCCACAGACCTCCGGCATGACCCTCCTAATTTCTTCAATCCACAGACCTCCGGCACACTTGAGAGAAATTATAACAACTACTCCCATTCATAAGCTCACAACTCTTCCACAATTCTCTCACTCCAATTTGAGTGAGTTTAAAGGTGATATGCTAGCAGTAACGTCATTCACCAATTTCAAACCCAACATCTCCAACACTAAGCTCACTTAATCACTTAACAACCCAACTTCACAAATAACACAATCCAATAAATCATGACCCTCCTAATAACAAAGCAACTACTCTCATTCCACCAGCTCATAGCTCTTCCACTCTTCTCTCACCCCAATTTGAGTGAACCTAATGTAATATCCTATTTGTAATGGCAAATAATCCCATCATTATATATAACATGACCTTCCTGATTTCTTCAACCACAGATTTATAGCAGACTCAAGAGAGATGATATTGGGCTCAAGTCAAATAAGTAATGATACTAATTCCAAGCCAGAACACTCTTTTAAACCTTTCAGATTACAACTCCATCGTTCTCTAAATCCAAATGTCTCAACCCTTTTTCAATACCTTAACTAGCTTGTTCACTCTATTTTCCTAAACCATAACCACCAACCCTCACCTTTGAATCACCACATTCTACATTTAGACAGGAATTCCTGTGCTTATTTCTCCAACCCGCAAGATTCCAATGCCAAACCCAACCTTCACCTGATGACATCCCACAACAGGATTCAAAACTCATCTCCCACAGCTCCTCCAGTGAACAAACTAAAGTAAACTTTCAGATCTCAATATGTATCATAATTCCTCTCCCTTCTTCTGTATATATAGCACTTCTGTTTCCACTACCATCACAACCCTTTCCATTTGGATAGTTCATATTAGGCTTCTGTTTTAAGTTTATTATTTTAGGAAATAAAGACAGTTATCCCTTGCAATTGCTAAGCAAGAAAATGAGTCGAAAATTTGGAAATGATATTTCAAATGATGAAAAAAAAAGGAACTGGAATTAAAAGATTTAAATATAGTTCAAACATATTAATTGATCTTGGATATCCCTCCGTTCCCAATTAAAAGTCCCATTTTCTTTTAGCACACATTTTTAGGAAGGTAAATACAAAATAAAAAAATACAAAAAGGGTGGATTTCGGTAGATTAAAGGTAAATATGAAATGAAGATATTGGGGTTTGGTTGATTAAAGTGAATTAAGAGCGGGGAAGAGAGGGGGGGGGGGGGGTTAAATGAACAAAATAAGATAGTCTTAGTAGGACTTCTCTTTAAAGGCACGATTTGAAATGAAATAAGATCTTAAAATAAGGTGACCAAATCATAGTCTTAGTAGGTGACCATGTTCATACCCTATGAAAGACAATTTCCGTGTCTAAAGTCTTGAAAAATACAGGTTATGCAAAGAGCAAAATCGAATTTATAAGCATTAGCAAGGTCCAACATGTTTCTCACTTGGACCTCTAAGTAATTACAATGTTACAGATCATACAGGAAGATAACAAAATTGCTGTTGGTAAAGTATTGAGGCGGGTAAAGTACAATGATACAAAAGAGAAGAACGACAGCATAAACACTCAGGCAAAATTAAAAACTAATTTCCATAGGAATCCAGATTATGCATTAGGTTTTAAGTTAGGCTCTTAACAGGCCAAATGAAATTAACAGGGCAAATGAAATTAAAGAAACATTATCCAGCAGACAGTTATATTCTTGTTATATGGTATAAAGGCATAGTTGTGGACTACAATAGCCATTCCAAGCAGCAAAATTTAGTTCCCAAAGGCCAATCATTTCAAGTACCAAAATGTCATAATTTTACAGCGACAAACCCAAATCTATTAAAAAGAGAACATTACTCAGCCTATATCTCATTATCCAATTGCAAATTGACATATGTATGATAAATTTGCTCAAAAAAGTCTAATCAGAAACTGAAAATTGGGACAGAAGAGAAGGCAAAAGCCGTCAGGAACATAAATTTTTTGGCATATGCATGTTTGGATAATTATCCCGTGTATGCATCACATACACACACACATTCACTCACATCCACATATACATGTATGCACGCCCACATAAATACATATACATGCATATAAAACAAGGCAGTTTGGATGTAACATACTACCATAGGCAGTATTGGAGTATAATAAATCTCACCTTTCCAGCAATATCAGGAGCTGAGCCATGCACAGCTTCAGCAAGAGCAATACCTCCCTCCCCAATGTTGCAGCTGCATCAGATGTATTTTAAATAAGTTTTCAATCCTAAAGATCATCTTAATAATCTATCTGACGCATACAAATGTTCAACGACTTCAAATGAGAAATAAGAATAGCCTCACCTTGGTGTTAAACCCAAACCACCAATTAAACCAGCACAGAGGTCACTGATAATATCACCATAGAGGTTAGGCATGACCAATACATCAAATAGCGCAGGATTCTTCACAAGCTGTTTGAAGAAAATAATGAAATTAGTACTTACATTGTTCTATACCCTATACCCACAATAGTGTTCCTTTGTTGCGAGTAATATGTAACGGAGGGAGCATAAAAAAAATAATATAAAATAAAAAAATAAAAAGCTTAATAGCTGAGAAATAGAGGGTACAAAATAATTGGATGTATCCTCATTAACACCCAAAAACAAAAAAAAACAGCAGCATCTAGTTAAAAAGACTGTATTAAGCACAAGGATCCACCCCTCAGGCCTTCAACCTTTGTAAGGACATTTATTGCATTAATGAATAATCGTAAGAGCCAATCCATTAACTAGTGAGGTTATTCAATTCACTTTTCGAAGAATTCTATCTTTCGGTCTACGATGAAAAAAGAAGCATTTATAAGGTTTTTAAAAATAGCCATACCATCATACAGCAATTGTCAATGACAACTTCTTCGTATACAATCTCAGGGTACTTCTCTGCAACTTCCCTGCAGCACTGGGAGCATCAAAGAAACAGATAAATACATAAAAAAAAAAAAAAAATAAATAAATAATAAAAAAAAAACAAGAAATTAAGTAGTGTGCTCAATATTTGAAAAGAAAAGTTTGAATAACCTTCAAAAAAAGACCATCAGTTTTCTGCATGATGTTTGCTTTGTGTATCGCAGATACTCTCTTTCTTCCATGAGCTTTTGCATACTGAAAGGCATGCTCAGCAACCCTCAAACTTGCTTGACGAGTAATGATCTTGATGCTCTCAACCACACCCCTAACCACCTAGCACCATATGCAACAGAACCAAACAATATCAGAAACATTCAATAGTGTACCATCATCTGTTTTCATATACTTATCCTTCAATCCTTTTGGAATAGTTTTACAAAAATGCCCTAAAAAACAATTCTCTGTATGCAACAAAGACTTTCAGCATCAAAGATATATCTCAAGTGGTTTTACATGCTTTTCAACATCTTCAAATAAAGTAAACTAGACAAACACTGTGAAAGGGGAACAAGTAAAATAAACTTAAACCTGACGAGATTACTTACTTGGTGTTCAAGTCCACTGTACTCTCCTTCAGTGTTCTCACGGATGGTGACGAGATCCACATCATCGTACCTGGTCTTATAGCCAGGAAGACTGAAGCAAGGTCTGACATTGGCATACAAATTAAGTTCCTTCCTCAAAGTAAGGTTAAGTGAACGATGCCCCTTTCCAATAGGTGTAGCCATTGGACCTTTTAGACCCACCTTATTACGGCGTACAGATTCTAAACTTTCCCATGTGAGAAAGCTTTGGGTTCTAGGATCTACTTCTTTCCCAACAAAGTGTTCCTCCCAGTCAATAGGTATTTGAGCCGCAGTAAATATCTGCATTCAGGCAACAAAACAATCAATTAATTATCCCCTTTATTTTCTTTTCTCTTCTAACAAGGAGACTTGCATAGTTCACATTAATCAAATGTTGGATGAAAAGTTATCAAACAGGCCGAACAAAGGTTGGTTAGGGTTGAGGGATTTCAATATGGTGACAATTTCAGGTCAGTACCTTTAGGTGTGGGTTGAACAATGCTAGTTCATGACCAAACACTTACCACTTATGAGGTCAAGACTACGGATTAGAATTTTTAAAATGTCCATTTTACTTCCATTTTAAAATGTGATATACAATGTACATAATCATATATGAACAAAAATGTATATTTGTACAAAATACATACATAAGATAACATAATAGACATTAATTTATAGCAAAACCCAACCCTAAAATGATGTTATGTATTATGTTTAAAAAAAATCCTCATCGTCTCATTTCATCTCAATAAATACATAGATTTAAGATTTGATCAGGAAAAAAGATGAGTGGGGTTTAAAAAGGCACAACATTTTCCAAGTTTTTCGAATTTTGACTTATTTGGGCTAAAGGTTGTTGAATACAGTTCAAAACCTTAAAATTTTGGTCAGTTTAGGGTTGAGCTGATTTCTTAGAGGCCTATTAAAGAGTACTTTCACAAAGCTCGTATATTCAGCCTTATACTACCATTAGCACAGATCTCTTTGATTTGCATCATGACATGATTAAAGCAAAAGGAGAATCAATAAATAATAATATACTCCGTGTAATAATTCTCCCCCTAATACAATATATTTGAAGTTTTTGCATTTCAAGTTCAAACTTTTAAGCATGACTCTCTCTAGAAATCATAATAATAGTAAAATATAATTACATCATGAAAGCATTATCAAATACAAAGTGCAACTCTAACAATATAACAATTATGAAGTACGGAGTATTTTTTATCGAATAGTAATATAAACCTAACCAAACAAGAACATCAAATACTCCACATTAAATTACCAATAAGGTAGTGAATTTCGATTTAAACATTTGAATGAAAGCCACCTAAACTAAAAAAATTCATTCCTAACAAACAATACAAAAGATTGAGCACACCATAGAACCAAAAATAAATTCCTTGAACGAGTCGACTACAGAAGTACAGATCATCAGCAACAACTTAATCATACTCAACAATCCAATAAATAGGCTTTAGCACAACCGTTATACTATTCAAAAACCATTAATTAATGAAATTAGTTGATAAAAATAACATATACACTAACTTCTAACAGCAAATATCAGAAACTAACACAATCGACTCCGACTCCAATTCCGAAAACTATACATGTCGAGTTATACTACACACCATCAATTATGAAAAAAATGTGATAATTAACGACAAACTAATCAAAATATCCACTCTAAAATCACAACCCTCACAATCACAAATTCAAATAAAAATAATCCATACATCTACAAATCGTACAAGGCAATTCAAGTACAACAATCAAATCAAAGTTCTGCAATCAAAATCAATGATCAAACGAAATCAAAGAGAAGAGAGAGAAATTGACCTGTTTGACGGATTCGGCGATTTCAGGTCCAATACCATCGCCGGGGAAGAGAGTGGCGGTGATGGGAGCTCCGGTGGAGAATTGACGGCGGAGAGCGGAGGAGGAAGTGTGGCTTCCGACGGCCCGACGCAAGAATTGGGCGGCCATGGAAGACAATCGAAGAGAGAGAAAGAGAGAATTTTGGGGTTGAGATTGGTGGTGGAGTTGTGTTGCAGAAAAGTTGACGGGGTAATATAAAAGGAAGAAAGCCCTCTCCAAATGCTGAGAAGCCAATATATTCTCTTTATTATTGTTTGATTGATCCACCCTAAAAAAAATACACAAAATACTCCACACCTTCATTATTAAACCTTCTAATTACAATTAGCCGTTTAGTTCGCGCAAGAGAAACGGAATGGAATCAACAAAGGGAAAGGAGGAGAAAGGAACACTAAACCCTCATTTTTGTATTACTGTTTGTTTTACATAAACAAAGGGAATCACATTTACAACCACCACTACCCTCCTCCTTCTACAACCACCAGTCCACCACTACCCCTTAAATCTGCCATTCACTTACCACCACCACCACATTAGCCACCACCCTCCTCATGACCTACCACCATTTCCCCTGTTTTCCACCCTTTTCGCTGCTCTTCTACCGTCGTTGATGCCCTCTTCACTCTCAATTTTTTTTAAAAAAAATTGTATTAGATCTAGTTGCTTAGTTTTCATGGTGGATCTGGAGGTTTTGGAGATATGAGTGGTGTTTGTGACGAATTGGGTGAGGTGGCTTTACACAAAAGGTGGGTTTAGGTCAAATTTGGGAGATTTTGGTGGGTGTTTTCGGGGATGTGGTTTTGGGAGATTTCGGTGGGTGGTTTTCAGGGAGGGTGCGTGGGTTTTTTTGAGTGGGTTTAGGGTAATTTGGGTGGGCGATGATGTTGGTGAAGTTGGGTCGGTTGATGGTAGTGGTGTTGACGGTTAGGCGGTGGTTTTTAGGGTTTTTGCGGGGAGTGGGGGAGTTTTTCGGGGGAGGAGAGCTCCGGCGAGACACGGGGGAGCTCCGACGATGGGCAGGGAAGATCCGGCGAGGGATGGTGGAGGTGCGGCGATGGTGGCTAGGTGGTGGGATAGGGTAGGATGGTGGTGGTTGGTTTGGATATGGTGGTGTTGTGGTGGCTAAGGAAAGGGAATGGAAAAGTCTAGGGGATGGTGGGGAATGAAGTTGGAGGGATTTGGGGTAATGGAGAGGGTAAAGGAATGAAAGAAAGTGCCAAACAAACAACAACAAAGAGAATCAGGGCAGTTGATTCCCATTCCCTTTGTTGAATACCCCCAACCAAACGCACCCTTAGAGAAGACAATCGGGCCGTTTTGATCATATTTCAGTCAATTTTAAGGTTTTGGGTTGGGTTGGTTCTCGCGAAGTTTTACTTATCATTTCTCAAAATTCAGTGGGAGAATCGAAACAACACTCCTTATAAAGTTCAACTTGTCGTTTCTCTAGCTTCAAGGGGAGTAACTCACGCATTCTGGCATGATCTCCTTAAGTCTTAGAACCGCTTGTGCAGTCCTATGACTGTGGGGCTAGTTGTATTGGACATATCTTAGCCGGACGTCCTATTGAGCAAGTAACAACAATATGGTTGGGCACTCAAAAAAAGTTGGCATGATGAGTAACCTCATACCACCTCTTGGGGGCTAGTTGCTTGGGGTGTTGTTGAGCTATCTCTTAAAGAAATTTTGTCATCTGCAACTACAATATATATCGTGTATCGAATTATGGAGATGATTAGTTTATTCCTTTGGGTCGTCGTTATATGAAGCTAGAAGTGGTCAATAGTCCTTGGCCCGGTCAAATGGACCAAAGCTCAATGGAATGAACCTTACAAGGCCATACTTTGTGGTGATGGTCTGATGGATTGAACAAAAGAGAAAGGCTTAATTTTGGCCCTTTTAAAGGTGAACGCACATACGGTCAAGAAGAGAGAGTTTGGGCTTTGTTTTGGACTCTAATTATATATATGTATGGAGGATATGTAATTAGAGGTGCCTAAGTTAATCAGATTATTTCCAAGAAAATTAGCAAACACTCAAACTCTAGTCCTCTTTCTATGTCTCTCCCCCTTCACGTATGACGTGTGTGTGAGTGGTGGTCGATTCTTCCCTTTCTCTTCGTCAAAGGTGATTCGAAGGTAGTTCGTACTCCACTACCTAGCAATAGAGTAGGTTCAATCCTAGCCCGTGGACTAAGTAGAGGAATCGCTTGAGGTTATATTCTCCTGAATTCGTATTCGATCTCACATGGACTTAACGCATCAAAGGTACGAATTATGTGAATCTTAATGTGTGATGCATGTTGATCCTGATTAAGTGCGAAAGAATACATATGATTTAAGAAATTCCTGACTATAGTTCCTAGATCCTTACATCTCTTGCCCCCCAGCTTCACTTGGGAGGTTCACCTTGGATCGGTTTCCAACATGGCATACCAAGAGTTTAGCTGCTCATTAAGTCAGTATCACAGTTGACCCACACAGTTGTGACTCAGACAAAGTTCATACACCTATAAATTGTACATCAAGTATAAAGGTAACGGGGTTAGATACTTTGAGTTTCATTAGATTCACTTGCTAAAAGTACTCTCTCACTAAACACTAGCTAACTTAAGTTTTGGAGGGGGGTTCCTTGAAACCACCCCTTAGGGAAGTAACGTGTGTTCTCTGTGTAGGTATCTCAAGTGGACATAGGTATCTCAAATGGCCTCGTAATTCTCAAAAAATCCTTCACAAATCTTCGATAATAGCCTGCCAATTCCAAGAAACTTCGAACATCTGACACATTCTTGGGTGTTGGCCATTCGCTCACTGCATTGATCTTCGAGGGATCTACTAAAACTCCTTCCTTAGAGATCACATGACCTAAAAAGGCTATCTTTTCTAAACAAAACTCACACTTCGACAGCTTAGTATACAACTGGTGCTCCCTCAGGGTCGACAATACTTTACTCAAATGATCTTCATGCTCCTCCCTATTCTTGGAGTAGATCAAAATATCATCAATGAAAACCACCACAAACTTATCCAAATATGGCCTAAAGATTCGGTTCATCAAATCCATGAAAACTGCAGGTGCATTAATTAACCCAAATGACAATGTGAACTCATAATGGCCATAACGCGTCCTGAAAGCACTCTTGGGAATGTCCAGCTCTGCAATTCTCAACGGATGGTACCCTGACCTCAAATCTATCTTGGAAAATATTCCAGCCCCTTTCAACTGATCAAACAAATCATCAATTCTAGGAAAAGGATACTTATTCTTGACTGTCACGTTATTCAACTCCCGATAGTATATGAATAACCTCAAACTTCCATCCTTCTTTTTCACAAACAACACTGGAGCACCCCATGGAGAACAACTAGGTCGAATATATCCCTTATCCAACAAGTCATCTAACTAAGTTTTCAATTCCTTCATCTCAGCTGGAGCCATCCTATATGGAGCCTTTGAGATAAGTCCAGTCCTTGGTAGCAATTCAATGGTGAACTTAACATCCCTCGCTGGTGGCATACCTGGTATCTCATCAGGAAACACATCTAGAAATTCCTCACCTACTAGAATACTCTCTTTCTTCTCATACTCCTTTCCCACTTCCTGAACACTACACATGTATATATAGGATAACCCATCTTGACACAATTCCGAAATTGCAAGGCAGAAATGATTTTGATCCCTGAACTCTTCCCTTCCTTCCTGTACGTCACTGTCACATTACCCGGACCCAATAATTTCACTTTCTGAGCAGCACAATCTATGTGAGCCTTATACTTTCCTAGCCAATCCATTCCTAAAATCACATCTAAGTCTTGCAAATCAAACTCAATCAAATCTGAAGGAATTCTACTCCATCTATTGCGATAGGTACCACTTTATGTAACTTAGAACAATTCCTCACTTCCCCAGTTGGAATAGAAACATCTAGAGACATTAACAATGGACTCTCTAACTTTAATCTCTGGACTAGAGATTTTGAAACAAAAGAATGAGACGCACCCGAATCAAACATGACTCTAGCATTCAAAGAACAAAAAAGGAAAGTGCCAATTACCACATCATTAGAAGCCTCAGCCTCACGATGATTCATCACGAACACACGACCCTTAGGGGCCGCTCCTACACCGCTACTGGTTCTATTCCTTTAAGACAATCCATTAGTTTGGGGTGGTTTGGCTAGGTTATTGGTCTCCTGGACTTTTCCTATCTTAACATCCTTCTCCTTGGTGTAGCACTCATACTCCCGATGCCCTAGTTTCTGGCAGTAATGACAAATCACTGGGTTTCCCTCATAGTCCTTCCCTGGGTGGTTTTTCTCACATCTCTTACAAAAATAACTTCACTTAGGTCTGGTGTTATTTCCATCCCCATGATTATTGTTTCCCTGTCCATTAGCTCCCTTCCCAAGGTTTCCCTTATTGTCCCTCTTGTTGAATTGCCCACTTCCCCCAGAACTTTCCCTAATCCTAGGCCTCTTATCAACTCCATGTGAACCCCCATAACTTTTCCTTTTCCCTCCAACTGAGTTCTCTAACTCTCTCCCTCGGATCCCATATAGGTGGGAAGCTCTCCCATAGACTTCATCTAGTGTTTCAAAGGTTACCCCTCCCAGCTTCCCCTGAAGACTTAGGGTCAAACCTTGCTCGAACCTTTGGGCTTTCAACTCCTCCGTGGGTACTACCTCTGGTGCAAACCTCATTAACTCAATAAATTTATTATAATATTCATTAATGGTCATATTCCCCATCCTCAGGTTGGTAAACTCCATGCATTTCTGCTTCTTCAGGTAGGCAGGGTAAAACTTGTCTCTTATTACCTTCTTCACTTCTTTCCATCCAAAGTTAGGGGTTTCTAAAGCCTAGCCCTATTTTGACTCCACCACAGGCCATCTTCTTCCCTCAAGTAATAAACAACATTATTAACCTTCAATTCTTCAGGACAGTTAATGGCATCAAACAACTTGTCAAATTCCCTTATCCAATTCTCCAAACTAGCAAGATCCTCCTTCCCAAGGTAAATGGGTGGCTTTGTAGCTACCACCCTCTTAAAAACTTCCCCAAACTAATCTAAGTCGTTGCTACGGTTCCTCTGACTCACCAGCTGGCTCATGCTTTGAGCAATGGTAGTTAGCTTCCTAAGAGTAGAGCTCATTTTGGAACCAGTGCGTCTACTATTTCCGGCTCTTAGAGACATCCTGAATAACTTAAAATAACAAATACACATTT